GATTACATAAACAGCCTCTTGCAAGTGCACATCGGTTCTTCCGATCCTCTCCTCAACTTGACTTTGGGGCTCATTGATCGGAGCCCGAGTTTCTTTTGCCTCACTAACTATGGAGCCTTCTCCGGCTTGTCGTTGGACATTGCGGTTTTAGATGCTTCGAGCAAATGTGGAAACCGGGCTGCGGCGTGCCATGGGTACAGTTACAAAGGCGCCACAAAGTCGAATTGGGCTGAAGAGCGACAACCGTCAGCCTGCGACCACTGTTTCTACCTTTCGAAAATGCTGTAAAGCTTGCAGGATTGAGCAACACTCCATTCACACCATCGAGTCTTGACATAACAACTCCATGAACCGCCGAGCCGAAAAGTGGAATGCATCAAGCGCCGCACCCAATCGGAGATTCTCTGCAGAGGTGGATGCAAAGGTCCTGCAAGCGAGGCAAGACGAAGAGAGAGACTCACATGACATGTCTCTAGTTGCCCAGTGGAAAAACAGCTCGCCATTTTCGGGTGATTGATTAGCCGAGAGATTGAAGACATGGCAAAGGAACGCCACTAAAGAACCGGATTCTTAGATGTTCACATTACTATGACTGCTACCAAACACGGAAAGGGGAGGCTTCATGGGCTCGGGTCCCCTTGTCCCCGTTGCAACCCAGTCCCAGGTGTGGGTCTCCACATTCCTCCTCACATACACATTCTCCAACTGACACTGTCCCACGCGAGCCAAACTGAGGGCAGCTCAAAACCTGCTCAAATGCATTCGGGTGTGCTCAACAAACCATCCATCTCTTGTTTGAGCCCTTTGGAAAACTGCGATGTCTTCTTTGTTTCTCCACAGATTCGATGGTTGGTTTCAATCAAAGGCTCATTTATTTGGAGGGGCCTGTGTGCATGTAGCAATGGGGGAATGCCGCTCAAATTGCTTCAGACCAGACCCCTGCCTCTCCGGTCCAATCTTTGCTATTCCAAAGCCATGACCAGCAAACTGCCAAGAATGATATGCTACTAGTACATGATGAGCACATACTATTGACTGACAGTCATCTGACTCTGTTGTATACCAAAAAAACACTCATCCTAGGTAACAGCGAATTCGTCTTTAAAAAAGAAAAGAAGAAAAAAAAGAACGCATTGAGACATACCGTGGACGGTTGCGAAATCCATTTCGCAGCACAGTTCAGAAACCATGGAATGATGCCCAACTATTCCCACCAAGCCTGTGGATGGACGAAATCCATTTCGCACAACCATTCAGAAACCCAACGGAATGATTCGATTCGATTCCCCAACATAAATACCAACAAACCTGAATGGTTTGAACCATGGCTTCGGTGTGAAAAGGATGTCGCAACCACTCACAGTTCCGTGTAAAGCAAAAACAAATCCAGCTGAACTTCGGCCACGTGGAACTAATCTGTTTTTGTTTTAATCAAATAACAGCTTCCCTTTTGGTTTCCCTTAACAAGAAGGGTACCCTTAAAACAAGACACACCCTTACGAAACGATGTGAAAAGATGTGAATCCCACCATGAGGTTTCCTGACTCATTTATCCTTCCAACATGAAATCAGGGATGGTTTGGAGGCCTGGAGATTCACCCTAAAATGCATTGGACTAAAATAGTCTTGGACACACTTTGAAGCATCACCCGACCTGGGGGCCATCATCTAAGATGGGCCAAGGTCTGGCTTAGTTCTCAAAGGGCAATTCTCTGGAGAAAGCTACGCCTTGGAATTGGCCCCTAGCTGTTGGCAGCCAACATGGCAAGGAAGCAACGCATACCCCTTTTCAAACCATGCGCAAATGGGCATAAGCCCAACGGATTCAGGATCCATTGACACTGACTGACAGGGAGCCGTTTGTCAATTCCCCTTCTCAAATCCCCCCCATCCGCGGGATTCACTCCTCTTTGTGCATCCGACGAAAGTAGCTGGCGCTCTGCCTGCCGAGATGCGCCATGCTTCGATATGGCGCTGACAAACGTGTGTGTGTGTGTGTGTGTGTGTGTGTGTGTGTGTGTGTGTGTGTGTGTGTGTGTGTGTGTGTGTGTGTGTGTGTGTGTGTGTGTGTGTGTGTGTGTGTGTGTGTGTGTGTGTGTGTGTGTGTGTGTGTGTGTGTGTGTGTGTGTGTGTGTGTGTGTGTGTGTGTGTGTGTGTGTGTGTGTGTGTGTGTGTGTGTGTGTGTGTGTGTGTGTGTGTGTGTGTGTGTGTGTGTGTGTGTGTGTGTGTGTGTGTGTGTGTGTGTGTGTGTGTGTGTGTGTGTGTGTGTGTGTGTGTGTGTGTGTGTGTGTGTGTGTGTGTGCGTGTGTGGTGCAATGCTGCAATATGACACTGCTGCGTGTGTGTTTTTAAATGCAGCACTATAGGACCCCTGTCGTGTGTGTGTGTGTGTCCAAGCAAGGGACGCAAACAGGGTCTATTTGAAATATAAACCCAACGGACGCGAGTATTTGAGGGGCCCAGCGTGTTGACACACCCACAGCCACTCATGTCTACGAGCTATTGTGGGAGGGAACGCTTGCAAATCTAGAAGATCGCCATCGCAATCAAGGCCGGCCGCTCACTGACCAAAAGCTAATGGCGGCTTCCCATTTCCCTATGGAAAGCGAGTACAGCAACTGCGATATCATTGCTACCCACATGCAACACAACAGGCTTCAAACGTGCCGAGGATATATGTGGAGAGCGACTTCATGTATTGCTCACATTAGCTGCAAGTGCATGACTGGCAGCACAACCTTGACTCTCTAGGGCTATGTCAAAGGGGCATTCACTAAAGGCAAATCGGTTCAGAAAAAAGCCATGTTTGTCCCCGAGATTCCAATCACCATCCAGAAGCGCTCCCACTTCACAGTGGGGAAAACAAAATACCCCCTCTTGCTATGACGAGTATTCCCTGCTTGCACCAGCCTCCAGTGGATCTCAGTTACCACTGGTGGGCAACCAGAGATTTCTCAGTTTCTAAATTACCTTGAAGTTCCTCACAGGTTCTGCAATGCAACATGACCCTATTTTCGCGGGCAACAGGCAACCGGCACCTGCATGTCCAGGCTGCATGGATCGAAGTTGTGCTCCAGGAATTCCAGCAGCACTGCGTGGCACCTCGGGATCTCGGGCCGACGTTGCCCGGGCCCCTGAAAATTTGTTGCAAGTAGACCGCAAAGGCTGTAAAATTTGGATCGGGATCTCTTTTGCTTTGAGAGACACTCTTGCTGTTACATGCACACCAGTCACAAACAAAAACACTTCAATATACATGTGTATATATATATACGTATGCACAAGATGTTGCATGCATTGTCCAGGCGTTTCCTTTAATCACCGCAGACGGCTGTGTGTCAAGATTCAGGACCCCGCCAAATTGTAAAGGAATGATGTGTACCTTTGTTTTACCAGCGAACACAAGGACAAAAACAACAAAAACACAAACAAGAAACAAGCAAGCAAGCAAGCAAGCAAGCAAGCAAGCAAGCAAGCAAGCAGGCAGGCAGGCAGGCAGGCAAGCAAGCAAGCAAGCAAGCCAGCCAGCAAGCCAGCGAGCCAGCGAGCCAGCAAGCCAGCAAGCCAGCAAGCCAGCAAGCCAGCAAGCCAGCAAGCCAGCAAGCCAGCGAGCCAGCGAGCCAGCGAGCCAGCGAGCCAGCGAGCCAGCAAGCCAGCAAGCCAGCAAGCCAGCCAGCCAGCCAGCAAGCAAGCAAGCAAAACAAGCAACGGAATAAAGCAAGCGAGCATGGAAGCAGGACAGCTGGATAACTAGCCAGCAAGCTAGCAAGGAGGGAAGAAAGCAAGCAAACAAGCCATCAAGCAAGCTAGCAAGAAAACCAACCAACCAACCAACCAAACAACCAAACAAACAATCACAATTAAACAATCAAACAATCAAATAAACAATTAACAAACAAAGACAACACGACACCACAACAAACACAATCTTGCCAAACATGCGCTTGGTCCGTTTTGGACCATGTCAGGCACATTTTACCTCAAACAGGGGGAACCGTGTTGGCGCATAAAAACCAGGGACCCGTAGGCTGTCGGTATCGTGGTAGTTTCGGTTAGTTAGACTGAAGGGTGGTCCCCAGCTTTGGCCTAACAAACGGCAGCCAAGCGAGAGCATGCGAATGTGGGAAAGATAGGGACCCCCCTGTTTCTTTGCTCTAGTTGGCTGGGTTGGTTGGTGGTTGATTGATTAGTGGGTTGATCAAATGATGGAGTCATTTCTCTGCAAGGCTGTCTCTATTGAGCATGTTGCTTCCGCAGCGCACGCACGACGCATAGCCTTTTGCATCTCACTGCATGCGACGGCGGGCCAACCTAGCGGCAAGTTTCATGATTTCTGGATTGAGGGCAAGCATTTGTGTGTTTCGCCTTGGCGTCCTTCTTCCAGGAACATCAACAAGAGTTACCCATTGTTCGAGCCCTGCCAATTTTGGGGGTTGCCCAAGATGACGATCGGGTGAGTCAACTCCATCTGCCCCATCCAAATTTGGCAGCTTACAAACTTGGGTCGCGAACCAAACAACTTCCTGAGCCAGGGCTGCCGCCGCACCAAAAAAAAACGCCATCCGTTGCCCGGCCGCGGACTGCCATGCCATGCTGTGAGGCGAAGTGTTTGGATCATCATGTCCTTCCACTCCAGGATTTGTCTCTTGAACCCCGGTTCCAAGAAAGAGGATCTCCTTCCCGGTTTTGCTCAACCAAAAAGGGGCAGGCACACGGACAATCAGCCTTCTCTGTGATACCAAAATAGGCCACAAGCAGAGCTGGCGGTTTGCCGCTCCCGCTTCCGGAAATCGCAGCGTTGCGTCAGCCAATACATATCCAGACCCAACATTGGAATTGGGCGGGTCGGTGGGTGATGTGCGTCAACAGGACGATCTATGCTTCACGCTGTCATACACAAATACTGGGGCACCAAATGGCACCGACTTTTTCCCAAAAGAGACCGAAGCTGGCCCAAATCGTTGCAAAAGGAAAAGACCAGCTGTACTGTCTGGGACTGGGTCCAATACAAGAACTCACTGAAATTTCCGGTCTTCATCTCCTGATGTTCGGCCTCCTCTCCTCATCCCAATCCTCGTGGATGACCCGCACAGATTTTCCGAAGCTGGCGTTGATGCGACCTGATGGACGGGTGACCCACCATTTTGGGGGGGAAACAGATTTCAAGTTGTTGCAATCCTTCCAGTAGCCCTAGGGTCCTCCGCAAATCTGACACAAACCCCACATAGGATTCCAAATCTGTGTAAAAACCATAGTCGTGAACACACCAATGACGTGCTCCAGCCAACAAAGCCTGTGATTTCAGCTGCCATATTGATTGGAGAATAGCAGCTACAAACAATGTCTAACGCCCTAACAACAGCAGGAACCAAGCAACGCCACTCACAATACTGGCGCTCCTTGAAGTTGCGGAATGGAGGACCCCATCAGCCTGGTTAGCGCGTGTTTGGCCTAAAGCTCCAGTCGCAATGGGACTCCTCGAAATCAGGACACTCCCAGACTCCAGGCGCCCACGAACCAAGTGTCCGGTGGGGTGGTCTTGAACAGTCAACAGACTCCTCCCATCCCATTTTGGTTTCTGGGGGACGCAACAAAACATTCTAGCTGTGTTCCCGCATTCATCCGAGAATCCTTCTCTTGCGAGATTGTCAAAAGCTCAGAGGAGTTTAGTCGCTTCTAAAATGAATGGGCGAAAAGAATCGGGGAATTATTGAAATTGCCAATTTCAATTTCAAACGGCTACGAGTCACTGCAATGTTCCAAAAATCGGAATACAAGGCTCGACAGGCATTGATCTCCGATTTTAAGATACACCCGTGTGGCCCTTGAGAAACGTGATTTGACCTCTTACATGGGACATCCTCCCACCGGGGATTCTCTCGAGTCCCATTTGCACGCAGGGGTGGGGCCAAGTTTGTCTCAGCCACTCTCTGGTCTTCTCAGTTCCCGAGCAGACTTGCCAACAAACAATAGCCAAACCTTTTGTTTGCCACTAAAATGGTCCAATCCCAAAAGTCACTAAAGTCCAACACTCGGGAAGTGAGTCTCAGAGAAACCCAAAGCTGGTCAATAGCACCCAAATTCAACGGCCCCGGTCCCAACCCACTTCGACGGATGTTTTTTTGCCAGGGCGGCGCATCTGGGCGCACCAGGACTCGAAGAGCTGCAGCAAGTCCTCCTCACAGGGCACCAGGTCCTGGCAAGGGCCATGGCTTTTTCATGTCGACCTTGATTGCCAGGAGATGTGGATGGACAACAGCCTGGTGGTTTTTTTATGTTGACCCCGGAGAAATACCCCCCCTGCTTTTGAAATACGGGGGGGTGTTCCTGGTTTTAGTGGGGAGATGTGGGGAGTCTCAGACCACTTTTGGAGGGGTCTTCCCCCACCCCAACAGGGGCTGGATGAAAGCCACCCACCGGTGCGAAGTCATGTTGGCCCCATTTCAACCAACCTGTTGATTAATATGGGGGTGGGAATGGGCCCCTCCAAAAGTCGTCTGATTCCCCACTAAAACCAGGGAGGTGTCCCATATTGGTGTCGTAATGGATCAATTTGAGGAAATATGGAGATAGAATATGACAATGTTCAATGCAATAGCATTATATGCAACATAATCGGACATGACATACGATCTAGTTCAATCACGATCATATCACCAGCATGACATAACATCATCACATCACCCATCATGTTCTTCCTTTTCGGTTTGTTGGGACGGGGGGGTTTCTCACTAGAACCCCCAACTCCGGTGGCTGCTTTCTCCTGTCGGCCAACTTGCAAAGCCCCGGTGCCCTTCCGAGTGGCCAATGAGGCGCGGGACGGTCTTCGTTTTTCGGTTTTCGGCGTGCGGCGAGGGGGTTCCTTGGCCCGGAGAAAAGCGGTTGGTTTGGGTCTGCGGATGGGCATCCAGAAAGAACTCCGCAGGGCGGATTTTTGTTAATAGCGACCAGTTTTTTTTCTGCTCAACCAGATCGGGAAAACGGGGGGGCCATGTTGGCAGTTCAGGCTATCCAAACCATGGCTCCCTTGCGCTTTCCGATTTCAATGATTGGTTCAGAAGACTTCCAGTCGGCACCGGAACTAGATTGCTGGTCATCCTGTGAGACCTGCGGGGCTCCAAACTGGAAGATGTTTGGTCTTCTTCTCTCGGAGCATCATCCAAAAGGGAATCCCAAATTTTGACGGACACCCGCCAAGACAACAAAGCCCCAGGTAAATTGCGGTTGGACCCTCTCATATTGAAGGGTTCAAGTGCCTCCTATTCGCAACTTGTGGACCCCCTTTTGCAGTGAACAACTTGCCTGGCGTCTCCTTGATCCATATTAATCTGGGTGCGTCTCAAAATGTGGGGACCCCTAAAAAGGTTAGTTTCCTTGGGTTTAAACCACCCCAAAAGGGTACCTAATAAAAGACACGCCCACGTGGGTATTCGGTTCATAATTTCAACCAGCACGGAAACCCACAACCCCAACGGCATTTGGCTTCCTTTGTTGGTTTCCCTTGAAAGCCCAACCAACCATAAAACGTCAGATGGGAATCTGGCTCAAGACAGGACCGCTTTTGAAGGGCCCCCGCGACCACAAGCGTCTCTCAGCCTAACTTTTGCACAAGCCCCATGTTCCCCTCGAACACGCACATCCCAAGCGCCCCCCACCTGCGCACTGCCGCTTTCGGCACCTTCGCCGGAGCCCGCGGAAGCGGCGGAGCCGGGGCTGCGGAAGGGCCGGAGGCGCTCCGGGGCGATGGGCCGCCAAGCGCCTCGGGTGAGGGAGGGGTTGGGGGCGTGGCTATGGTTCGATCGGCAATGAGTTGGAACCCCGGGGAAAACCATGGCTTCCTTTCGGGGAAACTCCCTAGGTTCCTTCCCAACAGCCGGAAGGTCATTGGAAAATCCCCTTTTCCGTGGGTTTCAATCCCCAGCCCCCTTTGCACCCTCCAAAAAACCCCAACACGCCCGGAGCCGCTCCAAAGCACCCCAGAGCTTTGGGCAGGTGGGGTCTTGTTAACGCAATTAATTTAATTTGGCCCTCCAAGATCTTTGGACTGGGCGCCAACTGCCAACAGAACGGCTTCTCCATTAAGAGCCCGATTGTTTGTTAAGGCTTTCAAGCAGAAGCCTCTGGGAGAAGTGGTTAATTACGCGCCCGCAGAACGGCGGCGCTAGGACATCGCAGCGACCCTGCGCTTTGGTAATTGGATTCTCAGAACAGCTACAGCAGGAGTGAGCGAGCGTGTGTAAAAGTTATAAGCGACGGGCTTGGCGAGCGCTATCTGAACCAGTTCAAGTCGCGCGCTGACCTCCGCTGGTGGTTTTGTTAGCTCAGGTTTGGGTTTGTTCGAACTGGCTCGAATCTCCCAAGCCCCCGCAGACTCAAGTAGCCGTGGGATTCCTCAAGCTGGGAAGCAACTCGAACTTCGGCGTGGCCTATTGAATTTCTGGCAGCTGGGTCAAGCAAATTGTGCGCTCGGACAGTTAGGCTGACGCAGCTCGTTGGAAGCCGTAAGTTGCAAAAGTGCTTCTATGGGCGCTGCATCTGCTTCAACAGCCTGTAACATTGACTAATGACTCCGTCCGCTGTTTGGCAAAACGTTCGTGCCCCAAAACAGGGTTTGCGTGTCACAGGGCTGCGGTCGGGATCTGTGCTTGGGCCTGCGCAGTTTTAACTCGCTGATCAGCCTGCCGTTGCATCTGTGAACATTTTTTACTTTGCGAACTGCTCGCTAACTCCAACACTTTAGCTGAGCTGCGCAGACACGCCAGCTGGCAAGTCCGCGTCTTTCAGGCGCGCCGCCGATTGCTGCAACGTTGCCGCCGTTCTGCGCCCCAGGTTTTCAAAAACCGTTGCGCGCGAGACCAACGCAAGGGCTTAACGCGTTTGCACTAACTTAACTTAATTGCGCTAACAAGACCCCAGGCAGAGTCCAGAGCTTGGGGAACAAACATAGGCGTCCTAGGGGACGATGATTAAGCCACCAGGTAGATCATCCCATAGGTGGCTTGGTAAACCAGATAGATGGGCCTGGTAGATGATTAAACCACTAGGTAAGCCAGACATTGCCATCTGTTTTGTTCTGCCAAAACAAGCAAGAAGGACACCTATAGGAACAAACTGATGCAGATGACGACCAAGTCTCAGTGTCCAGGGCTTTGCTCACAAACGCGCTCCGAAACGAAAACCTCATACAACCCAAGCGGGGTTGGGGAGGTTCAGGGCTTTGGGATTTCGAGGTTTGGGCTTGGGGTTTGGAGTTTGGGGTTTGGGGTTTGGGGTTTGGGTTGGACTGGTCCTGAGGATAAGTTGTTTGGGTCAATCTTGTGTGGGAATCAGTGGAAAACACACATTCATCAGGTTAAAGACAGAACTGTGCCCTTCCCCCCCCCAAGTCCTATTGCATCAACCATCAACAATAGAGTCAACACTGTTGGTTGACAAGACGGGTTCGACTCTCTGGGGAGCTGGGGCAAATTCGGAACAAAAGAGACTCAAGCACTTGGTTTGCTGTCTGTCCCCCCTTTCTATTCAGGGAATCAGCGCAGTTATGACCTCACCATCAAATACATATATATATATATATGAATTATAAATGTATGCACCCCAAAACCCGACAAAACATCGACTGGGAAGAATTCGCATCAGGTTGTGTGATGTTTATGTGGGCTCAAACATCATCGCTGTGCTGCTTGTTTACACCAGCCCACCCTCTGCAGTTTGCATGTCAACCGATTGCTTCGGGGCCAGTTTCATCCGCGGTCCCGGTATATCTTGCAGAAGTGCTCTTGACAGTTCGGCCTGCATTTTGCTGACTTCACACACTTTGCTTGGCACAACCTGCCAGAGCCGATAAGTGGAGCATTTTCAGTGCTGAGCGGCAACCTACCTGACTGAACTGTGTGTATCAAACACCAGGCACCAAGCAAGCCAACCTAAGCGCCTTCATCGCCCTGGGCCCAAAACCATATCCGGTGTTTTGTTTCTGCCTGGATTTGGCTTGCTTGATAAAACGCTGGCAGCCATCACCTGCGTAGAGAAGATTCGGCCCATGCTCCCTGGTTTGGTGACAAGCCCGGTCAATAGATGGTCAATAGGTATCTAAGAAGGCTTGGGAGCTCCTACGATGGACTCCTACCTCCTCAAAATATCACCCCTGAGCCACCCCTCCAATATCCTTGGAGTCGTTTCGAGGGCATATGTGTGCAGGACGGTTCTTGGGGTCAGGTCTCCATGTATCTATATATGTATACATATGTATATATTATATATATATATATATGTATATATATATTATAGATATGGGCGAAAAAGGAATTGGCACCCTTGACCCATGTAGATTCCATCTTGCCCTCTACCCAACATAAAGGGAGCTCTGCCGAGAAGCTGGTGATGTCCACCTCCCTCAAGCTCGCCATTGCGGCGATTCTTCCCGCAATCGCCTTGCCAGGCACGAAAGGGACCCTCAAAGCTGCCGGTTTGTTTCAAAGGGCTGTCTCCAGTTTTAGATACCTACAAGTGGAAACGGGTTGGTCGCAAGTGATTTTCGAACACTTTGGCGTGTCTCGTAAGTCAGAGGCCATCCCTGACCAGTGGCGTTCCTTTCCCCCCGGTTGCTCGAACCGCAAAGCGCTCTTCCTCGGACAGGCCAAAGCCAAAGACTGCAGCAGAGAAAGACGGGGTGGCATATTCGCAAACTGGGTCATCCGCCAAGGGAGCCAATGGCAACATTATTTGCTCCGAGTTTTGAGTTGGAAGTTGGATGGGCCGATTCCTAGGTTCTGTTCTCCGCAAACCTAGCGATGGACTGCTCATGATGTCACGTTTGCAGTTGCCATCCACATTCATTTCCACAACTGACACGTTTAGCAACTCCCCTTTCCTAATCAAAATTTGGCCCATGTTATATGTGCGCCAACCACAAGATGACAAGGCCAACCCCTTGTGCGGCAGTGGACGCTTTCAGTGCCCTGAGACAGTTGATGCATCGACTGTGGCAATAGAGCACCTCTAAAAACATCCGGTTTGCCTTTACTTGCTCAAGGCGGCTGGCTGCCCAAATCCATCAAACACTAAAAACAGACAGGTTTTGCCCACATGCCCGGATGTTGGGAACACCAAACAGCAGTCGCCTCCTAGGCCTAAGCCCCTCCGGAAACCTCGGCTTTATGATCTGGGAACTATGTTGGCAAGTATCACAGAGAGTGAGATGCAATATTAGAGGACAATTAACGCCAATGAATATTTGCTCCTTGCATTCACTCACCATAATCCTCCTCCCTATCCATCCCTTACCTATGGATCTGTCCCGAACGACCCAAAGCCCTGAAGTCTAGACAGGGCTGCCCTCAGATCCCCTAAAAGTTTAACTTGTGGCTAAAATTCAGACACCCAACCACTAAACCCACTCAAAAGATCTCAACAGCTAAGCCCCTAACGCCCTTAACGCTAAGGAACCAGATGGCGGGTTGCGCCAAGACAGGCCGCTTCGCCTGCCAGGCGTCACACTGGGCGCTGACCGCCTGCGCCACCAGCTCCCTGGCGCAGCACTCCAGGAGCCTCCGAGGCGTTGTTGTTGCTGGTTTATGGGGGGGTCATTCACTGCTTCAGTTTCTGAAGCGCATGCTTCTTGGTTGCTGAAGCGGAATTTGTTCTTTATGGGGGGCTCGTCTTTTTTTTGGGGCGCCCTTGTTTTTTTTGGTGGCTTCACAGGGATTCCAACAGGAAACCCTGTCAACTGACATTGTAACATGGAACCTGACTTTTCGGGATCCTGGAAGGCCATTTTCCTTAGAATGGACTCGGACTGGAGCAAGGTTCTTAAGGCTGTTCCAAAAAGGACAACTGGAACTTGAGACAACAGGGGGCAGCTGTTGCCTTCCTCTTCGCCGCATTTCAGGAATCCAGACATGTTTCCAACCGGGCTTGGGTTGCAGTTCCAAGGGTCCTTTCTTTCAGCATGGCCCGGGGAAGGTGAGGCCCCACTATGAGCGCGCGTCGACTCGGGTCAGTGGAGAATTCTGTGCGTCGGCGTGTCCACGGTCCGCGCGCCGGTGTCGTCCGTGCGGCGATACGAACGTGGGTTTGTTTGCGCCTTTGAATGAGCAAGCCTTGATTGGCGGTGTCCGGCTGATCAACTTGATCACAGAATGTGGTGATAAAATAAGCTCACCACACCCTCCCAGAATCCTCGCGGAACGCCCCGGGACCATCCTTGCTGAGGATGCCGCCTTGTAAAGCAAAGCTACGGGGCCCGACGGCGCAATCGAGGCCCGATCGGGGCCCGACGGCGCAATCGGGGCCCGATCGGGGCCCGACGGTGCAATCGGGGCCCGATCGGGGCCCGACGGTGCAATCGGGGCCCAATCGGGGCCCGACGGTGCAATCGGGCACCGATCGTCCCGTGGTGCAACCCCAGTCACCCATATTATAGCTCAACGCCGGTTTTCCTTAGCATGCGGATTGCAACTGTATGAAAAGCAAAACTAGGCGATGCCAGCTTGGTACAATTGACGGGGCCCGACTGAGTCGGGCCCCGATCGGGGCCCGGCGCAATCGGGACCCGATCGCCCGACGGCGCAATCGGGGCCCGATCGGGGCCCGACAGTGCAATCGGGGCCCGATCGGGGCCCGACGGTGCAATCGGGCCCCGATCGTCCCGTGGTGCAACCCCAGCCACCCATGTTATAGCTCAACGCCGGTTTTCCTTAGTATGCGGATTGCAACTGTATGTATAACAAAACTAGGCGATGGCAGCTTGGTACAATTGACGGGGCCCGACTGAGTCGGGCCCCGACCGGGGTGCGATGGCGCAATCGGGGCCGATCGGGCCGAAACGGTGCAATCGGGCGGGCCCCGACAGTGCAATCGGGCGCGACCTAGGCCCGGTGAACCTCGCAAACTTTCGTGGCCTTTCCTCAGGGCTGCCCCATAGCTTTTGCAGATTCATAGCCCTCGCAGCCTCGTGGAATTCTTGAGACCCAAAGCCCACCAAGCAGCAATGCCAAGCATTTACTCTGCTGCACCGTGAGTTCCGCAGCGACGTGATCTGATTTGCCACAAAGCCAACATTTGCCTGAGCAAGTAAGCAAGTCACAAAACAGTGAAAGTGTGCTAAGAACCATTGATTTCGGTTTTGCTTAGTGTTCCGCCCATGAGCAAAGCGATCTTGATCCGATGGCTTTTCAGACGACGGGCGAACGACACACCCTTGCTGGAGCATTGTGGAGCCTTGTGGAACCCGTGTGGAATCCTTGCAGAGCTTTGTGGAACATTGTGAAACCTCAGCCCTCGCAGAATCTTGTGGAACCCTGAAACCCTCATACAACCTTACCTCAAACCACCCCGGACCATCCCGCAGCCCTCGCAGAACCTCGTGGCACCCTGCTAGAACCGTGCTGGAATGGAACCTTACCTTGCAAAACCTGGTGGAATTCTGGTGGAATTCTCATGGAACATTACCTCAAACCAGCCTGGACCGCTGGTGGAACCCTGGTGAAACCCTGGTGAAACCCTCGTGGAACCTTCCCTGGACCACGCCGCACCCTCGAAGAAATTGGTGGACCCCTGGTGCCCTCGTCCGGAGCACGACGGGCTGGTGGAACCCTTGTGGAAACCTGGTGGAACCCTCGTGGAACCTTACCTCAAACCACCTCGGACCACCCTGCAGCCCTCGCAGAACCTGGTGAAACCCTGGCAGAATTCTGGTGGAAATCTGGTGGAACCCTTGTGGAACCTTCCTCAAACCAGACCACCCCAGCCCTCGAAGAAATTGCTGGAACCCTGGTAAAAACCCTCGTGGAACCTTACCTCAAACAACCCCGGACCACCCTGCAGCCCTGGTGGAACCATCGTGGAACCTTACCTCAAACCACCCAGACCACCCCGCAGCCTGGAACCCTGGTGGAACCCTGGCGGAACCCTCGTGAAACCTACCCGCAGCCCTCGAAGAAATTGGTGGAACCTGGTGGAACCCTCGTGGAACTTTACCTCACCGCACCCCAGACCACCCAGCCCTTGCAGAACCTGGTGGAACCCTGTTGGAACCCTGGTGGAACCCTGGTGGAACCCTGGTGGTGGAACCCTGGTGGAACCCTGGTGGAACCCCTGGTGGAACCCTGGTGGAACCCTGGTGGAACCCTGGTGGAACCCTGGTGGAACCCTGGTGGAACCCTGGTGGAACCCCTGGTGGAACCCTGGTGGAACCTTAGCTCAGGGTCGCCCCGAACCACCCCGGAGCCTATCTGGGCTGAGACCCCAAAGCTTTCAGCTGTTGGGGGGGACAAAAAAAACGTTCACAGCCTCATCGACGATGCTGCACGCTCAGAAGAAAATCAACCCCGCTCGCTTTGCTAGGTCCTCCAGTAGACAGGATAGAAAAAGGGAACCCGTTTTTTGTTTTTTTTGTTTTTTCTCTGTAGTCTATTTCAGTAGGGGAACCCTTCCCCAATAATAAAGGGCAAAAGGGCGCCGGGGGACCTGACCCTTGCTGCTGGATCCCCGATCCAACTTTTCACAGGCGCATGGCCCTCGGCAGCAGCAGCCGCTCCAGGCGGCTCCCTGCGAGGGAGTCCGCGAAGCTGGCGGCAGGTCCTGAGGAAATTTTCACGGGTGCCTGGTGGTCCACAAAGGGGGAAACCAGGATGCGGCCAAGGCAAATATAGATAGATATATTATATATCATACATATATATATATATATGTATGTATCATATGTCAGTCACAAACATGCGTCTCCTGTTTAACTGTTTGTCCTGCTTTTGTTTGTTTGGCCATGACCCAAGTTGGGGTTGTTGCATCCCAAATCCCTGTTCTAATACAGTAGCCCCGATCAGGGGGTTGCCTCAATAAGGACCACCTGCATGGAGAGCCCTTGTAGTTTCTGAAAAGGTGGGGGCCTCTGGCGTCCGGGGTCGGTTGCATCGTTCCGTCAGCTTGCAAGTGCCGAAGACACAGCTTCAGGCTGCTAACCTTGAAAAGCAATTGCAACAGGCTCTGGGTCTGAATAAGGCATTCCGAGAAGTCCATGGACAGAAAGTTGATATGTCCACCAATCATTCTAAACTGGAATTTGTCTCCATGCAGTACTTAGAGTCCACGGAAGCTTCCTGTGACAGGCTCCGCATGCAGTTTCGGACCCGTGTGCTCTTGCGGACAGATTGAACCCCCTGTAGGCTTTGCAATGTTCAAGCATGTCTCAGCTTGGCCCATGAAAGCCCGAAGCAATGCTTGGAATGCATGGCCCCTGACACCCTGACAGAGTGTTTGCTTCATGTGTTATGAGCGACACACTACGTCAGAAACTTCATCCGATATCTGCCCAAGGGATCCAGGATCTTCGTACACATCTCAGTCGCTCTCGCGGGGTGTGTCATTGTTTAGGCGACCCACTAAACTGGTGGTGGGTTCCTTTTCGGTTCCGTTTAAAACCCACACAACTGAAATAACAACTCAAAAAAGACACCACAACTGGAACTGGTACTGCGGCATGCTCGTCGTTGCATAGAATTGTGCAAGATTCGTTCCCGCTCTCCCGCTCCGAGCTGTCAAACCCTTGCCTGTGCAAATGAGGTCCGGGAGCTCTAACACTCGAAGACTTCTGAGCTGCGCCAGCTTCAAACGGCCTCAAAGGGAAGCGGTTTCCCGACGAGCCGAGTGAAGAGGGCGACCCGAAAAAGCTGCGATATCCATCCCAGTCGCTACGTAAAACGCGAAAACGGTTGGCTATTTAATCTGGGGCCGGGCATAAGTGTCAGCTGTTTTGAATTACAAATGGAGTAACTTCGTAAGCGGAAGCTTCAGGGGTTGGGTTCCACGCATCCCAAGTAGGGTTGTTCATTGGTGATTTCCTTTTTGCTACCTGTGAAACAACCCCAAACCGGGTGCCCTCAGAAACACAAAAAAAAACACCCCTCGTCTCAACCAGAAGAAAAAAGGGCTTCTGTCTGGTCGCTTGCAATCGCTGAATAAACGTCCACCGCCGTGACCCAGCGCTTCGTCACTTACGTCACACAAAACACAAGAGCTATTGAAAGTGGAGAATCAGACAAGGCTTCGACGGTGGGAACAGTCTGAAGGGAAACCCTTGTCTGAATGGTTTTGAAGCAAAGTACAGGTACCATTCCTTCCACTGATATAGCACCCAATTCAAAGTCCTCACAAATGCTATACATGGGAAGAAGGGAAAGCCGCGCATCACAATCAGTCTAAATGGCTGCAGTCGTCAAAACGTGAGTTGCTTGGCCACAATCCCCAGGTTTCTTCACGATTGGGAAAACCGCCATCCGACCATCACTTCCTGAGTACCCCTAAACTTAAGTTTTTGCGCCTCACTCCAAACCCTTGCGCTTTGAACTTGGGGAGTGAGCCGAGGGCCCGCGGGGCCGCAGTCCTCCCGAAACAGAAAGAAGTCGGCCCAAGTACCACAAACTCGATGGCCCAAGTGCGTGCGCATAGACTGGGCAAGCTCGTGGAACTCATTTGGGTACCCTCCCACCAACTAACATGGAAGTGCACAAACCCCATTTCCAAGAGGAAAGTAGTCTTTCTACAGGCGTCTGTGCACTTCCATGTTAGTCGGTGGGAGGCTATGTCAAAGCAGAAAAAGAAGTCGAGCGCCTGCTTGGCTGGGCACCACGAGGTGTTGCACCCTGAGCTCCTAGAGCCCCGTGCGGCATCCCGGCATCGGCTTCTTTCGGGGCGCGGCGGCCGTTTGGGGTTCACCACAGGGGGCTGTCTGGCTTGAAGGGAAACCAACAACCGCCATCTTGAAAAGGTCCCCTACAGGGCAGACCCATTTTGTGGTGGGGAATGAAACTAAAAGGGAAGACACGGTGACCACAACCGGGCTCACAGACTGGACTCAAGCCACCAATAAAGGCAGCGGGTCAAGCGCTTGTACGAGAACACCTACGCAACCATGCAAAACACAGCCTATCTGGATTTCTCTGAGGCTCATCCTTGGGGCAAGCCATATCATGAGTTTTTTTTGCTCGCAAGGAAACCAGGAAAGATCGTTTCATTTGCCCCCTCCTCGACAACCAGGGGAAGCCATCAAATCCCGTAAAACTCAGGTCACCTATTATTGTAATAGCCTGGCAATCCGGCCCAACCCCAGGAAAGATTCTGTTCCACATTCTAGTCAGTCATTTTCTCGGGCCGTGCTCCGTTGGAGTCGACTTCACTGCAAATGTTCAGGCCCCAAGTCCCCAAGTCACAAACATAAGTAGCAACTGGGGAAAAAAACACCGTGGCCAACCAACCCAACCAAAACGGGGAGAGCGGACAGCGGGTGGCAATGCACCAGCCGCTCCTGCAAGTTCACCAGCAAGCCCGCAGCTGCGCTGAGCGCCTCGCGGAGTGAAGCAACCAACCGTCCGGGGCCAGAAAACACACTCCGGCCATGGTGGGGAGCTTCTGAACATGGGAATTGGCCCCACAACACCGAGATGTTTGACGTGTCCTCCCCATGGAAGACAATGGGAAAAATCAAAGAGCTGCGGCAAATGGAAGGTGGTGGTAACTGAAAGCACAAACTTTCTTGCCATGCCAAGCATGGCACAGCCACAAGGAAGGCCCAAACGGGCTTGCGCGTCCAAACGCTTCCATGAGCCACGGGCTATATGTTTAGTCGCTCATTGACATTTGAGGTTGGTGAGTAAACCCAAAAAGGCAACTTCTTGGTTACAGCTACTGCAACTCCAATTCGCAAAATCCACTGTTTCAAAGCTCCAAAGTCGAAGGATCCAACAAGTTAAAGTCCAAAAAGTCAAAGTCACTCCCCAAATAGCCACTAAGATTTGGTGACTGAGCCCAACATGACCCACCTTGCGGCTTCATTTCCCGGCAAGCGCTTGGACCGAGCTGGGCGCTCATGTGCGCTCCGTTTGTGGCATGTTTCAAAGCCGGCCGAGCTTCCCTGGTCAAAGCAAATCCCATCATTTGCCGTCTTGAAAGAGTTCGGGACCCGCAAAGCAGTATTTGACTCCATTTCCAGGGGTCCCCATTTGCCGCCGGATTCAAATCGGTCAACTACACGGAATCGCTATAGTCCTTTTTGGGTGTCTTTGTGAAGCTTGGACCCCCCAAAATGGCTTCCCTTCTGGCTTTCCTTTTGGCTTCACGGCCGACGTGCAAAAAACCCTGGTTGGATCCAAAGTAGACGGCACAACTCGGATCTGTTTTTGTTGGGCCATGTATTCCCCCGATAAAACAGTCTTTTTTCGTGCCATGTATTCCCCAGGTAGTGTAAAAAAAAAAAAAAACGAGTCGCCCCCCAAAGGGACCGCTCCTTCCGTCCGAACCGTCCGTCCGTTGCCTCCGCAGGCAGCGCCAGGCGCCGCAGCTGGGATCCGCCGAGGCGCTCGGGCGGCGCAGCGGCGGCCCTGCGGCGCGAAGCGGACGGGCCGTCGCGTTGGACACGTCGGCGGCCCCGGAGGATTTGGCCACGGACGTCAAACTCCAAATCGGTTAGCCCCCAGCGAACATCTGATTCAATCCAACCACCAAAATAGGTTCTAAAATGGGTGGTGAATTCACCTACCCCAAAATGGTGCCATTGGTTTTGACCCACAGCCATTTGGTGGTTCCATTTGCGAGTCCCCAGAGAGGTGCCGAAGTGCTTTGCAACCAGTCCCCAAAAAGTGTGGAGCAGTTTGGGCATATTATGATGCTGCAAGTTCCCGGAGAGGTTGGGGGCAAAGCGGGAAGGCCCGCGAACCTGTTCTCCACCTGATCCAAACCACCAATGGGAGCCTTAAAAAGGACACACGAGGCCCCACTTCGGCGCCTGAGCGTTACGTTGCGCCACACCCAGCCACGCGCACCGCGCGCCGCCGCTCTCAGCGCGGACGCCTTCCCACCAAGGCGAAGACGTGTGGTGGGTGTGTCGGGCGCGAGGGGGGTGCCCCAGAACCCCAGAACCCAAAACCCCCGAAACAGGGGGTCAAACACACAGGGGTCACTGGATTTCCTTTCCCCTTCAAAAGTTGCAATTGTCTGGTGGTTTCCAGTGAAACTGCCACTTTTCGAGGTTCCAAAAGGGAAATGGAGGAAACCCTGAAACACGCCCGGACCTTGTTTGCAGGTCAAACTGCTTTCAGGTCCGACCCCAAAACCGAGCCAGCACCAAGTTTGGTTGCGGGGGGGATTCTTGAGTGACGCAATCGCAACATGCAGGAAACAGTGGTGGCTGTGGCCGATTTGGCCAAATGGACGAGCAAACTGTGTTTTGTGGAAAAATACCCCGACGCCGGGGCGCGTCGTCGGAAACAAAAGCAAAGTTATCTCGTGTTTTCAGCCAGAGACCGGAGTGCAAAGTCAGAAAGGAACCCTGTATGTGTATACATATTGTATGTGTATACATACTATATATATATAATCATACATATATATATATATATATATGGGTTGATTGTCCACCTTATTACTGCAGTATGTTTCTACTTGCACAACTTAGAGTTGGAGCTAGTTTGCTGTTCCGGGACTTTGCCGCCACTACGTTGTTGTTTTTTCAAAGAGGGCCGGTGTCGGTGTCTGCAAATATGCACTGCTCAAAGACTCAATGTGCTCAATTATGCTATCACATCATCATAACTCACTGTTGTGTTGGTATTGGCGAGGGGGGAAAGGTACGCCTACTTTAACCCTGGGATAGCGCATCGCCCTGAATGACAGAATCCTCGATACAGGAACTTTCCAAAAAATGGAGTCTGTCACTTCAGCAGCTTGTTTCTGGGTGGATCTTCCTTGACCCCTGAGCCAAAAAAACTAGTTTCCCCGAATGATGCAGGGCTCTCCGGATCTAAAGGCCAGTCATTTGAAGGCCTCTTGAGCCTGCAGACCATCTAAGGTCTCTGGAAGCAGCAGCGGCCACATGGCTCTGCACCGGCATGGATGTCTCGCGCTTGACACGGGAGCGGGATGCCCCCGTGTGTTTTGTTCATACAGCTGCAAAAGCAACAGGGAGTCCAAAGTTGGCAAAAACCTCGCTAGAGTGATACTTCAGAAAACGGAAAGGACACCGGCCAATTCAAAGTCTGAAATTAGAGACAGATCCCGTTTAAGAAGCGAACAAGATGGGATCTGTGCGCGTGCTCTGTTGCTGCTGTTGCTGTGTATTTGGTGTGCATCATTCGTGAAGTCTTGCAATTGTGTCTTCAGTTGTGTTGTGTTCAGCCAAGGCTCCAGGAGTATTCCTGAGGAAACGGTGGGAGGATGCGCGGCAGGCCGCAAGCGAATTCATTCACTTGTCCAGAGAACCTGAAAGGAAGAGGCCGCCCTCTTTCCAATAACAAACATGGAAGTGGACGGGAGGCCTTTCCAAAGGACGTTCGCCTTTCTGAAGGACGGTCGTCTTCCAAAATCCTCCTGTCAGCTTTCATGATCGTTGGCCAGAGGTTGACCGTTTGGACCCTTGAACAGCAGTGCACCAAACGTAGACAACTGAAAGGCCAGATCCGATCGATTTGCTTCTGCTCTGGCTGACTCTCAAGAAATCTCAGAAAACCTCAGGTTCGACAGAGCATCCATGGCTCGTCACAGCATATCACGGGATGCACCTCCCCCAACTCGCCACGCAAGACTGACAAAGGCGCGACCATTGTCAAATTCATCATGAATCCCAAAAAGGTGCCCGTTACAAGTGGGTGTGGTTTGATTTCCGGGTAATTTGGCAGGACCCGATGGAAAGTGTCATTTGTCATGCCTGAGAAGGCAAGGCGGGGTGAGGTGGCAATTCCGGGTAATCATGCAATTGCTCAGAACCAGAGGCCAAAACAGGGAATGTGTTCCAACAAATGTTTCACCGTCCCAAAACGGAACAGGGCGTTCAATACGGAAATTGTCTTGGGGTAAATAAGGTACAAGAGTTTAAACTAGAACTACTGGTTTTAGTATAGGCGGATGCGACATGAATCGTTGAGAAGAGGGGGGTTAAGTTTTGGGTTGGGGGTACAGACTAGGGGGTTTTCAGTGTTGTTTTTCGATAGTGCCCCCACCCCCCCCCCCCAGTGGAAAATGGTCAAAATAATGCAATTGTTGGCCTGACTACTTTTTTGTTAGCCGCTAGCACATGCAGGGTAGTGCGCAAGAAAAATAAAGTACAATGTGTTTCAACCCGAAAAACGCGAGGAGGAGGAGGAGGAGGAGGAGGAGGAGGAGGAGGAGGAGGAGGAGGAGGGAGATGCGTTTTGAGGGCAGACACCATCGTGAGACGAGGAGAGCATGGTGTCGTCGAAAACTGAGATGGAGAAAACTGTGTCAAGGAGTGGGGAGAGGGTACTGCGGTAGGAGGGATTCTCGGCTTGCGATCATTGAACCGGCGACCGGGCCGTTGTTTCCTTCTCATTTTTTCGAAGAACGGCTGTCGACCTTGCACGGCCCAATGTGTTGGGCAATGCTAAAGCAGTAGTTCCGGAAATGGACACAGAACATCCCCAATGACTGAAGACTGTTTCAGGGTCACTGGATTTCCCCTTCAAAAAGGGCAGTCCCAATTCTGACCCAATTTGTTTTTGCGGTTCCCCTGATCACCTTGTGATTGTTTCGGGGGGGAGGGATTTGTTACTAAGATCCGGGCTGCTCGTGCTCGCAGTACTCATGCAGACCATGACCTGCAAAAAACCCTTTTCGCAAACCACACCCCATGCAGTCCAAACGGCAAAGGGGGAGCACGAAACCCGCCCAAAAGAAACAACCAAGTGTGTGAGGCTAAGACATGTCAGACCAACTGACTAAAACAATAAGTGGTTGACGGCTGGTTGCCGAAAATTCTCTGGAATTGATAGGTGTTTCGAACCATTTCGAACATCCAACCCGGCAGAGCTAACAAAATCCCAGGCGCATTGGGGCTCGGGATTCTGCGTACCTGTTTGAATGCCGCATACCGAAGGCGCCAAATGCCTGCCCACTTTGCATCGGAAAAATCACCATCGAGTCAAGAATATGGACATGGTCAAACTCGCACCGATGCTGCCGGCCGATTCGTCTGACTTTGGGACTCGAAAGCCAACCCGAGCCCCGTTTAGTTTTGGTGTCCCCCCTTCGGTGGAAAGTAGGTATGTCATTCGGGAAGTGATGGGTCGATTGCGTGAGGATCTGCATGGTCCAAGCTATCCTAGTCGTGATTGGTGTAGGATACGCATGTGAGCGTGCCACGTGAGTGTGCATGTACATGTACACACTGCGCATATACAGTAACTGAATATGTATGTATATATATATATATGTATATATATACACAGGTGTCCTGATGCGCGGCACACGAATGTGAGACGTGTATGTATGTACGTAAGTACGTATGCGTGCATGTATGAATGCATGCATGGATGCAAGGATACATGCGTGCATGTGTGCACATCAGAAATGTAAAGCACTCTCTCTCTCTCTAACTTGTAGTGTCGTGTAATGCGATAATGCAAAGTAAGGTACTGTCGGACCTGCTTTTGTAGCTGGGACGCTTTAATAAAGACTTTTTGCTCTTCATTGAGAAGCCTGTGACTGTTTTGGGGCCTCCGGGCTCAGGCTAGAGCTCAAATTGGCTCTGAGCTTTGGCAGCTGTTGAGCTGCTTCTGAGCTGCCTTTGACCTTGCACACTATCTGCTCCTGGGACGCAAATCACATAGGGGTCCAAAAAAACACGCACACTCCTGAATGCGTGACCTTCTCAGCTCAGTCACAGTCGACGTCGCTTCACTCGGCACGTGAGGTGGCCTGAGGCCCCCCGTCACCCAGCACACTCCCGCCTAAGAGGTTCATCAGGAGCTCGCATGCCGCTACTGAGACCTGACACGAAACAATTGGTCACCGAAAGGTGGCTGCCCCGTTCAATGGGTTCCAACAAGTGCGCTCCTTTCGGATACTACACACATGATTGGGGGCAAGCTGGCCCCAGGTATTCCAGCCGGTTAAAGGTCACCCTGAAAAAGGAATCCACTCAAAGTGGTTCTGTGGCTCCCAGTTTGCCAAAACCAGGACGTCTGTCGGGTTTGGGCGCGAACCAAAGGCTCCTTGTCTCGAAGACCGAGTGTTTCAGCGGGTTTGATTCCACTGCAACCGCATCTCCCTCGGGGACAACTGGGTCAAAAGTCAAAACAACCAGCAGACTTCCGTTTTGGCGGGTTCAGAAGGCAACCAAAGGACAATCCAAAGAATGCAACATATACTGCTTGATGGCGCAAAGAGCAAACAAGCAAGCAGGTAAGAAAGCAAAACAAACAAACAAACAAACAAAACAAAAAACAAACAAAACAAACAGACAAGACCAAACAAAAACAAACACAACCAAACACAACCAAACACAACAAAACAAAACAAAACAACACAAAACAAACAAATAAACAAACAAACAAAACAAACCACCCAACTAATTAACTAACTGAAATCAGCAACTAATCACTAACTAACTAACTAACTAACTCACTCACTCACTCACTCACTCACTCACTCACTCACTCACTCACTCACTCACTCACTCACTCACTCACTCACTCACTCACTCACTCACTCACTCACTCACTCACTCACTCACTCACTCACTCACTGACTAACCCACTAACCAACTAACCAACTAACAATCACTTCGGGCTGCTATGGCTCCCCTTCGCTCGAGCTCGCTGTGGCTCAAAATCATGCAAACCATTTTATATGTCAAGTTTCAGTGCCAAAGCCAGTAGACACTTTAAACTGACCGAGCTTCTTCACAGCTTCCAGGCTTCCAAGTCAGGACTGCCCCATGTAGAGCGTTATTTTAGACCTTCGAACAGCATGAAGCAAACAAGAGGAACCGAAACACATGCAGAGCGGACATTGCCGAACGAAGACGCAGGCAAGCACCTCTTTGCCATAGTGATGCATGACACGCGTACGAACACGCACACACACAAACAAAAACACACCACACACACACTCACACACACAAACTAGCCCAGTATTGTCCGGAATCGGAAGCTAACATGCGCCGCACGCGCAGCTCACCTCCTGGGATCTGCCGACCAGCGCAGTGGCCAAACCTGAGCGCGAGGCCCCCTACACGCATGCATGGCTCGGTGCACTGAAGCCGGAAGGAAGACTTTCCTTTTTGAACACTGAGCCCCAGCGCGTCTATGTTTGTAAGAATGTTTTTTTTTGATGACGATGACCGTATGCGCGAGCCACCGGATTTTACCCTCCTAAACCCGGGAGCCGTGCCGCATTAGCTTGTCGGAAGGTCGGATTCTGGCCATGGTCAACAACTCAACGAAATGCAGTCCCGTTAAACAAGCTCTTAGTAGTTGAAATGCAGCCACGGCTGAAGAAAGCTCCATTGTAGCTACGCACATGAACCAAACAAATCGACATCTTGGAATTGATGCTGCCAAACCAGCCAAGGCCAACAAAACCCAACACACATCTCACCGTGTACGACAGTCCGACAACAACGCTGAGGACAAAGTTGGCACTGTACAAACAATTCCACCTCAACCACAAACTTGACAAGCTGGCTCAAGCAGAAACACTGCCGAAAACTTCGCGTGATGTGCAACGCCAAATCCAAGCTAAGCAGGATAAGGGCCTGCAATCTGCGGTGATATGACCGCCATGTGAGGTTGTGTTTGGCAGTTCTTGCAATTTTCTCCGCATCCTCTTCAAACCGAATTGACTCTTGACTACCCTGGCAACGACGTGCAACCAATCTTCAGCATGGCCTCCACTGGCTACATGCAACCTCCAGAGATACCCTGTTTAAAATCGCACGCTCCATTGTCTTGCTTCCGAAAAGCGAGCCACAGGCGCCAGCATGTCGAGCAAGGTGGGGACATGTTCAGCAGCTCAGCCTGTCCTCTTGGTGCTCAGTGAATGAGGGAATGACCCCCAGGAAAGCCATCCCTCATGGTTTCCTTTGAGGTGCCTGGGACCCTGGGTTCATTCCCTCCTTCCCTACTGAGCACCA